AGGATGCATAATTACAGGGAAGACCGCACTAAGAGTAGTGTTATTTCAAAGAGGAGGAGGGGGTTGTTATGCGATGTGCTGTATTTTTGTTCTGCATCACTGTCTTATCTTCCCCACCCTCCTTTCCTTTTTACTGAAAAAAACAACCACGTATGGTCAATTTTACTTTTTTTTTAAAGGGCATTAGCATGAGGACTGGCAACCCACTGCCCCTAGAAGTTTGGCTGTGCTTTATCTTGGAGAATGGAAAAATGTGATTTACTAGACAACGCCCAAACGATTATCGGCTTTTCATGAGAATAAGGCGATAAAGTTCGAAAATACAAGGAATCCTTTGATTGAAAATGACCTCGATGAATGTACAAACAACCAATAGTGTTTACCTTTCATGTACAGTCCATTTCTATGGTCGCAAGTGAAATAATAGTCTTTAACAACATCATAAAATCCATCGTTGGAAGTGGATGGTCTTAAAGAAAATGTGCTGAATCACGTTTCGACTTTTCTTGCAAGAAACAGAGGGTAAACTATCATATTTATGAAAACGCATTAAATTCGTTAGCAATTGCAAATAATTTGTAATGCGCTAGTCACGACCGAAGATCGAGAGGGGTTCGCATCGAGCAATTACCGCATAAAAAAGTTTCTACAGATTTTTTAAGTTAAGGGGACAAGGAAGTTCATAAACCAGTATGTGCTCTTTAATCTCAAAATTTGTAATTCCAAATCTTCATTTATCACCTTCGCAACTCTGAAGTGTAGTCAAAAGGAATGGCTCCGGACAATTAATGATGGAAGTTCACAAATGAGTCGTTGAACTTTCATCGTTAACCACCGTCACTGATTAGGAATCGCAGATTCGGTCTCCGAATTTCTGCAGAATAGCTCTCGAAAACGCAACATCGCCTAGTAGGAAGCCATTCTATCACAACAAAAGAAAATTCTTACTTTATCCACCGCGCCAATCCCAAAGTTGACCTCTTTTGCAGGGCAATTTTACCCTCTAGCGGGCGTAGTTTGTTTTCTCAGACTTCCATTTTTCTCCTCTGCTGCTTAAAGCGCCATAAATCAGGCGGGGCTAGTACACTGAGTTTAAGAAAGTTGGACATAGTGTCAAGCACAATTTACTACAGGAACAGAAGTTAAGCATTTTCTAGCACTTCGGCTAACATTCGCCTCTGTTATCTTATCATCAAACCAGGTGGCTTCATAAGTGACGCTGCCGATTACTTCTCACGCCATCACGGTCGTGTGCAACAATGAGGAGAGCGAATGATTCAGTTACTGTGGATGAGTGTTTACGGCATTCTAATTAAAGAAGCTGCGCTCGATTATTCATCGAGTTGTAATTAAATCCACTGAGTCTCCCAAACCTTTGTTTCCTCCAATACGCAAAAAGAATATATAAGCACCGCGAACAACACGTTAGCACACTAAAAAATACTTATCGTATGCCAAGTTCATTAGTAGCTTACTAATTTTGACTGACTTTTATGTAATTGTTGGATGTAAAATACTTGTAATCCTATTTAAAATTACAGACTTTTGATTTCATAGATAATCTCCGTTACTTTGGCTTATTTTACACCCTCTTGCGGTCAGCGCGGGTGGCGGCCCAACAATTCAAGGTGTCTTAAGATTTTTTACACTAAACCGAATTGAAGCCCCATATTCAAGTGCGTCGCCATTTTCAATAAATATTAACGCGACATATACCCAATCGACGTTCAAAGTGTTAACTCATCATAGACTTCAAATAAATGAGTCAAATACTCATTTAGTTATAAAGTTATTGGAGGTAAACACCATTTGAGTCGGCAAGGAAAGGTTCATGCATATGACTTGCGCTGGACCTTACTTCTCCTCCATTTGAATGTTACTATGTCCTATGAAAAACATCAATTACGGTGTACGAAGTTCAGATTTTGAGAGGTAGAACATGAAATTAAAAAAAAAACGTCGGGGTGACTTAGTGATGCCTTACTTTGCTAGTGGGCCGGTAGCTGCAGGAACTTTCCGACCCTAAGACCGTGGTTATGAATTCCGTGTTGGCATCAACTGAACAGCCACTGCACAAGGACGAATGTTTTTCCTATTCAAGACCCTCCTCACATCGCTTGCTCGAGACGTCCCGAAGAGGGTAAAATAGCTTTAGGACCATCGACTCATCTTGCCACAGAAAAGTAGGACAATGTGGAAAAATTTTTTAAATGTTTTACAATTTACCTTTAAACTTGGTGTGAAAACAGGCTAAATGAGTTTGTTGCGTACAAAACAGTTGATGGGTAAATTTTAATTCTCAACAAACTAATATTGACCAGTCCCAAAGCCTCGTCATCCAAATATTCATTTCTCTTCACAAGCTCCACCACCTTAGACTCAGTCAAAGTAATGTGCCTTTGTTTTAGACTTAAAATTCGATGTCATTCGGTGTCTTTTGGCAGTTATAACTAAATTTTTAGCGATAGATTGCCCACATTCGGAGTGAGGTTACTTTTTGTTCCGTACGCTCCAACTCTGCTTATCCATCGAAAGCACTAGTACGACGTTGCGTCCTCTTTATCCTAGGATGCAGAAATCACCAACCACATCTCGATTTTTTCAATGGTATTACTTGCAGATTTTTTTGAAAATCATCTTTCGACAGATTCCCACTCGACTTGATCATTATTGTAGGGGAAGGAAGCATCAACTAAGGGAAAATGCTATTCGAATTTTGGGTGTGTCACTTGGACAGTAGGAAACGCTTTTTACATTTAGATTGGAGGAACTCTTTAAGGGATGCGAACGCATACTATCGTGTGTAGCAATCTTTATGCTTATTATATGCCATCCTCTTTAATAATGACATATTCATACACATACGTGCACGAATAAACAGGGCGATGTGCATGTGGAGCTAAAGTGAGGTGGGGAGTGGGGTAAAATATATAGGGAGAGACCGCCAACTAGTGCACACAATGGCAAATCCACCGTGTAGGTTCGGGTGAGTGTGCGCGATGCGGGGTGATATTATCTCGCTTTCACTCCCTCCCACAAAACCACGAATGTGTCTCCCATAAACGTGCTTCCCATTCGCTTAGAAAATAACGGCAAACAATGGGATCAGCTTTGAAGCATAGCTTGGTGTACATAGTGACCTTCTGCTCGGCAAATAATTACTTAGTAAGCGTGACACAATGGGAGGAATTTGGGAACCATATAGTAATTTAAATGAAGTATGCAATTTTCAAGTTGCCAACTTGTGCATGCATTTTACCTTTACTAAAATGCAAAGCGATCTCCCTTAATTATTCATTTAGGTATTAACTGTGTATGCGGATTGATGTCTTATCAAAGAGTTACAATTGCCAGTTACCGGTTGACTATTTGCTTTTCGTAAAGAAATCCTCAACGTCGTAAAGGCAGCACAGTAGCAAACATTTGATTAGGTTTACTCCCTACTGTAAAAATGAGACCGCCTTCATGAAACTTCTATCAACCGTGGTCCTATAATGAATGGTGTCAAAAGAGAAATGGAGTTGAGGCGCTTTCATCGCTCTTTGAAGGCCTCGAAGTGAATTGCTATTTCGAAGGTAGTTACGCAACTGTAGGCGAATTCTCGTACAACAATTAAATGTGCTATAAATGCCTGGAAAAGGTTGAGACCGCAATCAAAATGGTCAGACAATGCTAGAAAAGGGATATAAATAAATAAATAATTTTGAGCACAATCATGTCCACTTTATTCCCAACCTTCAGTGCTCGGATTTACAAAGCCAAACGCACAAAATATTAAGGAGGACACTCGAGATCGTAAGCTGAATGTGGAACTGAGTGCGTGCGTATTGCCTTTGTGAGACAAAAGTAGACGAAAATTATTTTGTGACATCGGTTCATGAATTAATAAACTTCAAACAAAATTTAAAGTTAAATTTTGTTGCTCTATTAAATGATAGGAGCCTGTACAAAAGAGCTGCATAATTAACACTCTGACTGCACCACTTACAATCATTTATTGAGCACAAAATCTTTCATGTTGTAAATGTTAATGGAATTTTCATTGATATGATCAAAACTGAAAATGACATGGCTGTAAATTAGTTATTCTGCGATGCATGAATTATTTAATCAGATATTTTAAGTCCAGTGTACATTGTGGACCAACCCTCGCGACTAATGGCGAAAAAACTTCGTTTGACCCTTTTATTGAGAGGTGCTTACAAACGAGAGCACTTAAGCTTGTATAGGAAGGAGCCATCGGAATGATGTCTTATTGTCTTATAGGGAATAAGGGAGGATAATAAAAGCAGTCAATCACGTCCAGTGTTCTTGCTCACGAGTTGTTTGATGCTTGCAAAATACTACGCGTGCTGAAGTTATGCATTGTAGAATGGGAAGCGTTGCCAATTTTGACCAGTCAAGATGCTCAAAAGACAGCCGCTTAGAACGAATGTTAGCAAGCACGAGGTACGTTCGGGAGTAAAGTGCATCGTATGTGAAAGGAATAGGGTGAATAGTAAGTGCAACTTAATCGCGTTGTTTACGCAGGCGTAAGAGACAAAAAGCAGATTGAACTGACCTCGACACCTGATTATGTGTGATTACTTCAGAATTATTGGCTTAACCATAAAGACTGACCTCAGAAATACTGGGCAGTGCGACGTTTTGCTTAAGTTGTGCCCTTTCGTGAAACCATGAATGCGATTCCAAATGGGCAGGTAGTTCCATCCGATGAGGCACACAACTTTTGGCAGTGAAGCCAACAAATCAATCTAAATTCCTACTTTATGAGCGAGACCTATTAGATCTGCACAATACCTAGACTGTGTAAACTCATTTGTAAAAGTAATGATAAAGCCGAACGATTTTTAATATTACCTGACATTTGTTGTCAAAAGCTCAGTTTGAAGCAAGTATCTATGAATTCGAGCGATGAGATGCTTTAGCCTGAAAGGTTTAAAAATTAATTCTCTTAATGTTATTACTGGTTTCCCCTTCCTAGCCTCATCTCCGTTGCAATGCATCAGCAGCTCTTGCTGCTGAGTTCGATTGTCGCTACCCTCTTCTTCAACTCTGAAGCTATTTCAACAGATTTCCGTGCATTTGGAAATCTACCCAATGAATTCCTCCTTACTGATGACACGCCTTCAGACCACTTGGTTGGCAAGGTGCAAGCCCCTTTAGGCAGTTCCATCACATTCCCACCTACCGGTATTATCAGCTCCCACCGGCAACCGTGGCACTTTCAAATCTTTCGACCACACAAATTTCCTGGACGGCTGTTCCGCATAGACCCGGAGTCTGGTGAACTTTATACATTACAACCCATCGACCACGAGGCCTTCTGCACTGAAGCCGAAGAGGAAGAATGCACCTTGGCATTTCAGGTTACAGCACAATCCAAAAGCACTCCTAGTGTGCCTCACTTTATCGATGTCAAGGTTCTGATTGTCGATCGGAATGATCATGTACCTGAATTTCCCGATCCAGGGTTTGTGAATCTCTCAATACCAGAGTCTACCGAGGTCGGCTCGCGATTCCCTCTGCCTCTGGCACGAGACCCTGACACGCGGCAGTACTCTGTCAATGCCTATATGGCCGATCCAGAGATCCCAAGTGAATGGGCCCTCGTGACTGAAACCGCTAATGGAGAGGAGAACTTTATCTACTCTAAATTATCATCCTCCACCTCACCTTCAAACAGAATAACGGGTCTCTACCTCAAGCTGCAAAAACCATTAGACCACGAGACAAAGAAGAAATTTGCATTTAAAATCCGGGCTCTAGATGGTTCGGAGATGAATGAAATTACTCCGATTAGCAACAAGAAGGATATTCTTCAAATTTATATTTACGTTGAAGACGTCAATGACAACGGACCTGTGTTTAGACCACAGAGAAAATCCTACTCATCAACTCCAACTAAAGCACAACTTGCTAATTGGATAGTGACATACACGGCGACAGTGCCGGAGAGTAGATGGATAAAAGATCCCATCTTAAAGCTAGTTGCTGATGATATGGACGGTCCTGCAAACTCCAAGGTCGGGTATTACTTCGCAGCAGCTACCAGCAAACAAGTGCAAGAATATTTTAATCTCAACCCCCTCAACGGCTACCTATTCCTTCGAAAACCCCTGGACTATGAGCTACAGTCTGAATTTTCCTTCCGAGTTATTGCGACCGATATGCCAGAAGAAAGCTCCCGCAGCGCCGTGGCGCATAGTCATCCCTTTCAGACCTCATCGAACCTGCATACGGCCACAGCACAGGTAGTGATCACGGTAACAGACACTAATGACGAGGCACCAGAGATTGAGGTGGACTTCATATCCAGTGAGCCTAACACATCACCACTAGCGATTAAGTATGCAGAGATCGAGGAGAATGCTTTGCCGCCGCAATTTATCGCAAGCATCCAAGCAACTGACAGGGACGCTGGGTTAAGTGGTCAGGTGAGCTGTGTACAGCAACCGGTGATGGTGCTGTGGCCCAAGCCGACAACAGCCATGAACATAACTTCTTCACCATTCCAGTTGGACGAGATTCGTCAGGAAAACGGACGCGTACAGTATCGTTTGTTGACGAGAGAAGCACTAGATCGAGAGGATATGGAAAGTGGTGGCGCCTATCGTCAAGTTAAGATAATCTGCACCGATATGGGACGACCTCCAAGAACATCTAGCACTTTCGTGAACATACGAATTCGTGACAAAAATGACAACACTCCTACAATAAATTTAAAACCACTTGCAGATCAAGTCTACGGTTTGAAGTCCCTGGAAGGAGATAAATGGCCGTTTGTTTATGAAAATGCTCCAGTTGGTAGCTTAGTTACACGTCTAAACGCTACTGATTTGGATGAGGGTGAGAATGGCCGTCTCACTTTTAGTTTTATAGCAGACGAACCACAAAGTGGAGCCATTAGTCCTCTCAGCCTTTTCCAAGTCAACGAAAAGACAGGCGACATTACGACCTCTATGGAGATAGACAGGGAGGCATATGATCCACCTCTCTCAAGTGTTGTTTTGCAAGTAAAGGTTTCCGACAACGGTACACCTCCCAGGTTTACTACTCAAGAGATCCGAGTCTACATTCTTGATGAGAACGATAATGACCCAGTTTTTCAAAGAACTGATTACCAATTTCATGTGATGGAGAACCTTCCCTCGGGCTACGCTGTAGGCGAGATCTTAGTTACTGATAAGGACGAAGGAGAGGTAAAGCTCAGTTTCGGAATGCAAAGCTACGGTCCACTTCCATTCACTATTTCGCCCAGTCAACTTCATGGTGAAAACGATCACAATGCGTATTCGATGACGCGGTTCATTTTAAACACCACCAGACCTCTTGACAGAGAGGTGGAACATAACTTCAAATTCACTCTTCTTGCTACAGATGGATTTGGCGGACACAGTAGGTCAAGATCAGGCACAGCTACAGCCACAATTGAAATCTTTGTTGAAAATGAAAACGACAATGACCCTGTAATAATATTTCCACAAAAGCAAAATAAAACCTTTTACCTTTCCTGGCGTGAGAAGAAGAACTTTGAGCTTCTTACAATTAATGCAAATGACAAGGACCCCTCTGAGAACCCCCACATCTTTGACCTCATAAAGGGTCGGTTGGACGTTCAAATGATAAACTATAGTAGCGAAAACGAAACAAAGAAAATTGCTGAGATAACTCAAAGTTCCGACTTTTTAGACATCGAACCCACCACAGGAATAGTATTTCTATCGCGTGACATGAGAGAAGAGGACAAAGGGGTGCATGTCTTCAAAGTGCAAGTCACTGACGCCGGTGTTCCTCCACGGTCCACCTCAATAACTTTTTTTGTGCTAGTAGACGACTCTTCGCCCAGATCACCGCTCCACGAAAGCAATGCCCTAGTGACCAAACCTAGCAGTAAACCAACTGTAAATGCTGATCGTTCCCCATTGAAGGAGTCAAGTACTATCGTCGACAGTAATCAGATCAGCGACCGAAAACATCCTCCTGCTGTTAGGATAAAACAAAAGCCACGAATTGCAGGTGATTTGATTGTTCTCCTTGCCTTGGGGTTAGTCTTTCTTCTCCTCATTGCGACGCTGGGTCTTGTTGTCTACTTCCGGTACTGGAAGAAGCAAACTCGTTTGACTCAGACAAATGGTAACCGAAGTTCATTACTGTATGCTAATCAGGTAAATCGTGGCGGAAGCACATGTATGAAAGAAATCAGGGTTCCCACAACAAAACAATACCAATGGCTATGCAATGGTAATGGATCCATAATTGGAGTTCATTCCCCATCCCAGTTGTTAAATGATGGAGATCAGTTTAAAAATTCCTTCCAAACAGTTATTTCTTCATCGGATAGCACCGGAAATATCTACTATAAGGCAAAAGCGGATACTCTAAGGTCGGGAAAAAGTGGAAGTGAAAGTGCAGCTGCTTATTCTTCCCTTTCACCTGTTACTTCGGTAATGCTAAAGCCCACCTTAGTGCCAGGTTGTGAAGGCTATTTGCATCCTGAGTCGCAACCTGCATACTACGCACAAAACATTCATGTGTTGGGAGCTCAATCTAAGGAGCGTTCAATCCTCCTGCCGCAGAGGAATACGATGGACAGAAACACTTTTAAGAACATTGCAGCTATTAAACAACAGCTACAACAGCAGCATCAGAATGAAGTTCTAGTGATTCCGCCGGTTTCCTGGGACTGTCAATCAAGAAGCGACTCCTCACTAAAGCAGGAGGAGCTAATAATGATACCACAGGCAGAGGAAGGAAGAAGCGAGGCAGATGTGAGTCCACTCTGCTCTCCTTTTGCTTGAGTAGATAATGCGCACACGCCGATGACACTACGATGGCTGTTGGTGTTGTGGTTGTGATATTCGCATTTCTATGCGCACGTGGTGAACACCTTACACGTCCACTTGCCTCGCCCTCACTACCATTTCCCATTTCAACCTCTTTTTATACTTTATGCCCATAATAAACAGCAACTGCTTTATCTTAAATATCACTAAGGCTTTTACGCCATTGGGAGGGCCTTCATTCACTCAAACTCCTTTATTTACTCAAAATCGTCACCTGTTATGACACAGTCTCCACTAGTTTCAATATTTTATAAAAATCTATATTAGAAACATAACGATTTGCAGGTACAGAAATCTTGAAGACAAGGTCTTTTAGCATTCACTTAGGTAGTGGTAGCCAAATTTACGGGAACACTAAGCGGTGAGTCAACCGGTATACTAAAGCATATAAAGGGAGCGATCGAATTACTTCTGGTTCGGAGCTTGTCAGCTGAAAAACGCGGTAGATATCATTTATCATGAAAGCAGAAACTATAGTCAACATCTATTGCTGTCCAAATGTGCAATGTGAGCGTCGGAGCTTACATCTTTGAAATGCTAATCGGGAGTTGCTATTTAAAATCACTTTCTGTTGTGAAAATAGACCTCTCCACGAATAAAATACCGGAACTTCTCCTGGGCTTGCTACGATCATGTGAGACATGTGTGCTGGCCAACTTAGTGAAAAGTACATAAAGTATTTTATGAGCCTATGGGCATGCTATTTCAAGAATATCACATTCACCGAAAGGATCATCCCCTTTCTCGTTCCTCAACCTTTATATTTTGTGTATGTCCACCTGCAGCCGATGGCTATAAGTTAATCACATCAACTCCTGACAAAACGTGTAGTGATGTAAAACATGACGTTGTTACTAAACTGTCTCTGTTCAAGGTATGCATCTTTTTTTGTAAGTAGATCACTTTCTCGTCTTCGCGGTTTTGCAAGTTTCAGCTTTCATTACTGCAATTCAGCCATCATGACGCGACTAACTGGATTAACTAGGAAACCAGAAAGGCTCAAAAATTGGGGATTTAGGGCAAAGGAAGCAAAGTTAGCACATAAACGATGTGCATCGTTACTGCATCTATAAAAAACATTTAATCGGGTGAAAGAACATTTAAATGAATTCCAGCAATGGCAGCTGCAACTTCTCAAGCGGACCTGATGGATACGAATGTAGGTGTTTCCCTACCTCATAAAAATAAATTGATATGTTGAACAGGTAATACATGTGATGAGTGCCAAAATGTGGAAGAAGGAAAGGAAGTAGGTTGGGAGAGTGGGAAGTTTGTAAAGACTTGTGACCTTAAATACTTTCCATGGGAAAATTGTCAAATGTAAGTCAATTTGACGCAATATTGAACCAACTTGAAAATCTCGGCGTCATAATGATGGGTTCAAATTTCGGAAGCTGCGGTAGTCTGAGGCATGAAAGCTTTAATGTCACAAACAACGGAATTGCAAGTTATCTTGCAACAATGCCAGCATTTGACAGTAGGCAATCAATGTAAAAGAAATCACTGCTGAAAGGAGTAAAGAAAAACTCTTTTGAATACAATGGTTCTTTGTAGGTTACTATCGCAACGAAATAATGAAGCTATTTTTTAAAATAAGCATCACGATACGTTGCCGTAAACGAGTGCCTTGTTGTGAAATTTGGGATGGGTTTTCAGAATAGAGGGGTTGGAGAACTCCAAAGGTGGCAGCATTGGTCTACGTCCGGGTTGAGAGGTAGAATGCTTTCATTGTTTGAGCAGTAAGGTGGGATTGCCCGAGAGAACAATCGCTAAAACTGCTCTCAGGTCACAATAAACCAGTAGCCAGGTGGCTGAGCCGGAAACGACTTTCTGGACGTATCATCCAATGTGTACATATTAAAAGGAAAGAATTTTGTCCATCCTTAGGAAGGAAAGAAAATAACAACTTATTAACAATGGCCACACAAGTCAATTTTGCACTTCTCATTAATTTTCCTTCAAGACGTTAAAGGCTTAATTGAAAAAGTCAGGAAGATTTGCAGAATTCGAATGCTGCCATGACTGCCCTCCCATGGGTACTCTTGTAAAGTTTTGGCGTTTGTGAAGAGTGCGTGATTGTTGTGACTTTGGGTTATGTCTCTTTTACTGTTGACCAATTCACGAATTCAAGTCTCAGCGCTGGTCTGGAATTGAAATTACGCACTCAAGTTGTGCCGAGTAAAGAGTTCAACACAAAGCTTAGAAATGAATTAAACAACTTGCAAATCGCATTAATGGTGTCGGGTAGATGTTCACTTTACATTGGAGAAAAATACAAAAGTCAATGCATCCATAATAATACGTTTATTGTACCAAGTTTTGAACGGTCAACAACATTGTGGATGCATTTGGCAACTTCATTTTTGCCTAGCGAAAATATAACATCAATGTAATTCAAATGATCGACCGTATTCGACTATGAATATAAAGCAGAGTAATTAATTAGTTTTGTACAACATTACTCACCTTAAGTAAGTTACAAGAAATAGGAGTTGGGTTCGATTGCCTGGTTAGGCCAGTCGAGATTGCTAGTTTGAATTTCATTTATTTAATCGAAAACGGTCTGAGTTGAAGGAAAACATAAAGGCGGGTCTCTTGAACAACGCATTCCTTTTGTTTTGTCACAGCTATCAAGATAGAATAGTAACCACTTTACTCGCTTAAAAGTTGATGCATTTGCCTTTGCTTCTACGATCTCTACGCAGTCCACGATGCTTTTGGTGATGATGGAGACATCGTTGTCCCGCGGACCAATCGATGGAAGCAGAGTTGATTAATACAGGCATGTCTCGTTTCTCCCTTTATATTGTCCCTTTGGCAGGCTACCCAACGCCTTCCTGCTTTTGCACGCAAGATGACCACACGCAAAATCTGACTACAATGCGTTTAAAACCTTTTCAGGAGACCGATGTAATTTTTTTTAATTTTTGATAGGTGTACTCTTCCACGAACTTAGGGCTAATCGTGTCAATCTGCAAAGTGGGTATATTTGTTAAGTAGTTTATGAGGAAAACTGACGTTTACGCTATTCCATATTACCACGGAGTGCTCTCAGAAGCGAAATTTAGTTAATAATTGCTATCCCAGTTCGATACTAAAAAATCTTATGGGGTCTGACTTATGCAGACCTGTCGTCATTTCATTTTGGTCCAATGAAGTCGCCTAATTTCTCAGGCTGAATAAACCAAAGCACCACAACAATCCGTTACCTTGCGTTTGCATTTACATTAGAAGCGTTAGGACGGCTCCAATGCGCTTTTTATAATGAAGGCTTGTGAGAAACAAGGCTCATAATTCGTGAGGTGGTGTTAAACGATCTAGTAGGTCACCGAGCATGATTTAAGCGGCAAGATTGAATGAGACATAAGCCGGAAAACTTGTAAACGAAACTTGGGTGTCAGGATTAGCCATCTTACTGATATGATGGAAGAGGAGTCCATGGTCAAAGTTGAAGCATTTGTTTGACTATCCTTCAGTGAAACAGTGGGTGCCACAAATCTGAGTATTCTTTGCAATTATGTGAAGTTAACAGATTGGAATCAACCGGTTACGCCAAGGCAAGTCTAAATTAAAAAAGGATCTGTGAGAAGTAATTTTGTTGAATAACACGTAGCTTTTGCTGCCGTACATCGAAGGTCCTTCCGGGCAAAGCTTTTGCTCAGTGATAGCCACAATACTTCTATTATTCAAATTAAGGGACGCAACAAAGATGAGGTCATGTAACCAGCAAAAGAGATGGAGCTTTATGGTGTGGTCAAAACTTCTCATAATGAGCATCGCATAGAGTGGGATGGCCTTTCTTGTAAAGAGATGGTCCTTCTCTCCTAACGAGGCTAACGACCACTTCTAATGGTGAGCCCTTGCAGCAGCGTAACCGTTGAGGGCTTTCCCGACCAGCCGCCACATGCATGAGCACAGTGAAATGGGTCCTTTGTAATTTTAAATAGCATTTTTAGCCGTATCTGATCCAACTGTTAGGTATCCACGCTGGGTCTGGCTTTCCCGGGACCACTCAGAGAATATGGGAAACGTTACGAAAAATCTGCGAGAATGGGAAAATGGGGTCATTAATGTGGGTGGCAGAATGCTTCAAATCTATGGAAAAAACGCAGGTTATGTAATGCACAGTTTGAAAAAATTAAAAATTTCATTGAAGTGCATAAGATAATATTGCAGAAAGCACAGATAATCCTAGATCCAAAAGGATAGTGACTCGCGAAATATGTTGGCCATGGCGACGAAGTGGGTGGAAGAACCAAATGCTTGTAAAGAAGTGGCAGGTATTTTACAACCCTTGTTTTTAGCCAAGACATTCCATTACTAATATTTATATTCTCATTGCTAGGAAAAGAGCTTTTAGCTCCGCACTTTAGTTGAAAAAGACTTTCTTAAAATCGTTTTTAATGTTAAAATCACTCCAAGAGCGACAATAAATGTTGATAAAGCTAGTCGTTTTGGAAACTCATTCAGTTTTTCATCCTCCATAAAGATGCCTATCTCGCCTGTCTAGTTTACTGGGACTTCGAATTTGCGTCTGAAATTTGCAGGTTGTTCTGTCTGTGATACGCAGCCTAACAATGCGGTTAAAACAATTGTGGACACAAACGGGACCAGAGCCTACCGTTTTCTTTGAGTGGTTGATAGAATTTTTTCAATGAATAAAATGATCTAGACAACAATACAAAAGGAAGTTTAAAGCCAAAAGTTCTCCTTTTATTTGTGTAAGTTGCAGGGCTACTAATCGACGTACACGATGTAGAAGCTGACCAAAGCCTTTTTTGTACTTGTAGCAAAAATAACTAGACTTTCAGGTGTGTCAAATTGTAAAGAATCATAAGACTGAAGAATAAACTTTTAAGTTTTTGTGATTTCTCGTCAACTAGTTTCAGCGGATGAATGACATACCTCCATACTCTAATAATGCATTAAATAGGGACGCGGCCACTAAAAATTTC